TCTCTACCTCTCTACCTCTCTACCTCTCTACCTCTCTACCTCTCTACCTCTCTACCTCTCTACCTCTCTACCTCTCTACCTCTCTACCTCTCTACCTCTCTACCTCTCTACCTCTCTACCTCTCTACCTCTCTACCTCTCTACCTCTCTACCTCTCTACCTCTCTACCTCTCTACCTCTCTACCTCTCTACCTCTCTACCTCTCTACCTCTCTACCTCTCTACCTCTCTACCTCTCTACCTCTCTACCTCTCTACCTCTCTACCTCTCTACCTCTCTACCTCTCTACCTCTCTACCTCTCTACCTCTCTACCTCTCTACCTCTCTACCTCTCTACCTCTCTACCTCTCTACCTCTCTACCTCTCTACCTCTCTACCTCTCTACCTCTCTACCTCTCTACCTCTCTACCTCTCTACCTCTCTACCTCTCTACCTCTCTACCTCTCTACCTCTCTACCTCTCTACCTCTCTACCTCTCTACCTCTCTACCTCTCTACCTCTCTACCTCTCTACCTCTCTACCTCTCTACCTCTCTACCTCTCTACCTCTCTACCTCTCTACCTCTCTACCTCTCTACCTCTCTACCTCTCTACCTCTCTACCTCTCTACCTCTCTACCTCTCTACCTCTCTACCTCTCTACCTCTCTACCTCTCTACCTCTCTACCTCTCTACCTCTCTACCTCTCTACCTCTCTACCTCTCTACCTCTCTACCTCTCTACCTCTCTACCTCTCTACCTCTCTACCTCTCTACCTCTCTACCTCTCTACCTCTCTACCTCTCTACCTCTCTACCTCTCTACCTCTCTACCTCTCTACCTCTCTACCTCTCTACCTCTCTACCTCTCTACCTCTCTACCTCTCTACCTCTCTACCTCTCTACCTCTCTACCTCTCTACCTCTCTACCTCTCTACCTCTCTACCTCTCTACCTCTCTACCTCTCTACCTCTCTACCTCTCTACCTCTCTACCTCTCTACCTCTCTACCTCTCTACCTCTCTACCTCTCTACCTCTCTACCTCTCTACCTCTCTACCTCTCTACCTCTCTACCTCTCTACCTCTCTACCTCTCTACCTCTCTACCTCTCTACCTCTCTACCTCTCTACCTCTCTACCTCTCTACCTCTCTACCTCTCTACCTCTCTACCTCTCTACCTCTCTACCTCTCTACCTCTCTACCTCTCTACCTCTCTACCTCTCTACCTCTCTACCTCTCTACCTCTCTACCTCTCTACCTCTCTACCTCTCTACCTCTCTACCTCTCTACCTCTCTACCTCTCTACCTCTCTACCTCTCTACCTCTCTACCTCTCTACCTCTCTACCTCTCTACCTCTCTACCTCTCTACCTCTCTACCTCTCTACCTCTCTACCTCTCTACCTCTCTACCTCTCTACCTCTCTACCTCTCTACCTCTCTACCTCTCTACCTCTCTACCTCTCTACCTCTCTACCTCTCTACCTCTCTACCTCTCTACCTCTCTACCTCTCTACCTCTCTACCTCTCTACCTCTCTACCTCTCTACCTCTCTACCTCTCTACCTCTCTACCTCTCTACCTCTCTACCTCTCTACCTCTCTACCTCTCTACCTCTCTACCTCTCTACCTCTCTACCTCTCTACCTCTCTACCTCTCTACCTCTCTACCTCTCTACCTCTCTACCTCTCTACCTCTCTACCTCTCTACCTCTCTACCTCTCTACCTCTCTACCTCTCTACCTCTCTACCTCTCTACCTCTCTACCTCTCTACCTCTCTACCTCTCTACCTCTCTACCTCTCTACCTCTCTACCTCTCTACCTCTCTACCTCTCTACCTCTCTACCTCTCTACCTCTCTACCTCTCTACCTCTCTACCTCTCTACCTCTCTACCTCTCTACCTCTCTACCTCTCTACCTCTCTACCTCTCTACCTCTCTACCTCTCTACCTCTCTACCTCTCTACCTCTCTACCTCTCTACCTCTCTACCTCTCTACCTCTCTACCTCTCTACCTCTCTACCTCTCTACCTCTCTACCTCTCTACCTCTCTACCTCTCTACCTCTCTACCTCTCTACCTCTCTACCTCTCTACCTCTCTACCTCTCTACCTCTCTACCTCTCTACCTCTCTACCTCTCTACCTCTCTACCTCTCTACCTCTCTACCTCTCTACCTCTCTACCTCTCTACCTCTCTACCTCTCTACCTCTCTACCTCTCTACCTCTCTACCTCTCTACCTCTCTACCTCTCTACCTCTCTACCTCTCTACCTCTCTACCTCTCTACCTCTCTACCTCTCTACCTCTCTACCTCTCTACCTCTCTACCTCTCTACCTCTCTACCTACCTCTCTACCTCTCTACCTCTCTACCTCTCTACCTCTCTACCTCTCTACCTCTCTACCTCTCTACCTCTCTACCTCTCTACCTCTCTACCTCTCTACCTCTCTACCTCTCTACCTCTCTACCTCTCTACCTCTCTACCTCTCTACCTCTCTACCTCTCTACCTCTCTACCTCTCTACCTCTCTACCTCTCTACCTCTCTACCTCTCTACCTCTCTACCTCTCTACCTCTCTACCTCTCTACCTCTCTACCTCTCTACCACCTCTCTACCTCTCTACCTCTCTACCTCTCTACCACCTCTACCACCTCTACCTCACCTCCCTCCCTACCTTGCTGTGTCTGATAATGTCTTTGGTTTTGGAAGCAGGGTAATGTTGGCCAAATAGAATGAATGTATTCTTTCCTCTTCAATTGTATGGAAGAGTCTGTGTAGGATTGCATTATTTCTTCCTTAAATACTTGATATAATTTACCAAGCAAGTCTTCTGGGCCTGGCATTTTTGAGGGGTGTGGAGGTGAGGAAAGGTTATCTGTTTCTTTGCTGAATGAATGTTGATTGTTTGTACAAGGAATTTTTCGCATTCATCCAAGTTGGTGAATTTATTGTCACAAATTTACTTATACTATTTATTTATTATTCTTTTCATGTCTGTAAAATATAAAATGATGTCATCTCTGTCTTTCCTGATAAGTTGTGTTTTTCTATTTTGGATTAAAAACCAGAGATTATCAATTTTATTAGTTGAAGATTTATCAACCTGGCAGTTTAGCATTATATTGCTTTCAAAGAAACAGTTGTTTATATCATTGATTTTTCTCTACTGCTTTTTGGTTTTCTATTTGATTTCAATTCTGGTATAAAGTATTTTTTTCTACCTAATTTGGGTTTCATTTGCTTAGTTAGGAAGCAGAATTCAATTATTTGAAATGTTCTTTTCTGATTTAGGTATTTTGTGTTATACATTTTCCCCAAATTCTACCTTAGCATCTTTCCATACTTTTTTATATTGCCATATTCATTCACTATAGAATGCATTCTAATTTCTGTTGATTCCTTCTTTAATCAAAGGGTTGTTTAAAATTGTGTTACTTAGTTTAAAATTAGTTGTGGATTTTTCCAGAAATATTTTTGTTAATTTCTGATTTAATTTCTTTGTGGTCAGTCAGATAACATACTTTTTTATGAATTGAATTCTTATAAGTTTATGGAGTTTGGTTTTTTAACCCAGAAATTGATCTATTTCAATAAATTTTCATTGTGAACATAAGAAGAAAAATATATATTCTGCTTTGTGGATTGGAGTATCCTAAAAATATCAATTAAATTCACTTGATTAATAGTGTTGTTCAATTCTTTTTTATCCTTATCGCTTTTCTGTCTGCTTGTTCTATCAGTTTTCAAAGAGAGATATTAAATCTCTGACTAGTTGTGAATTTGTCTATTTCTCCTTGCAGGTTCATCTATTTTGGCTTATGTATTATGAAGCTTTTTTTTTTTTTTTTTTTAAATTAGGTATAAAGATGTTTAGGATTGTTGTGTCTTCCTGATGAGCTAACCCCCTTGTAATTATGAAATGAATATCTCTGTTCCTGAATTATTCTTTGTTCTAGAAGTTCCTTTGTCTGATATTACTGTAACTATTCCAGCTCTCTTTTGATTAGTTAGCATGGTATATCGTATTCTATTCTTCTATTTAACCCATTTCTATCTTTATATTTTAAGCTCATTTTTTATAAGCATCATATAGTTGAATCTTGCTTTTTTTTAATCCAATCTGATAATCTCTGTCATTTAAGTGGGGATGTTTGGGCCATTTATATTTAATGCACTTATTGATATAGTTAGGTTTAAGTCTACAACATTGCCATTTGCTTTTTATTTATTACATCTGTTTTGTATTCCTTTTTCTTTTTTGCCTTTTTTATTGGTAGAGTATTTTTATGATTTCTTTTGATCTCTTTTCTTGGCTTATTGACTGTAACTTTTGATTTTGCTATTTTAGAGGTTGCTTTACAGTTTATAGTATGCATATTTACACGGCATGTTGTAGATGATAAAAAAAAAAATGTTGAATGAACAAAGAAATGCCCCAGTGCCTAGGCCAAAGGGCAGCTGAGAGCCAGGGGCATCAAGATTGGCCCTCAGTCCTGTGCTGTCACAGTTCATTCTTTTTCTGCCTTTATTTTTCTTTTTTACTCCATGTCATTATGAATATGAGCGTTAATCTTTCTGTCTAAGTGTTAGTCTGTCAAGGTTAGGGGTCTGTGTCTTCCTTTCTTGCCTCTTTAACATTTTAACAAATTGATATTTCATCCTTAGGTGGTGCTTTTCTCGCAGGCTTTTTTGAAAGTATATGGATTGGATCCCCAGGATGAAGGAGGCTGTGGCCTTGACTTAACATGGCCAGAGCAGAAGAGTAACACTCTTATCAGGAAGAACAGAAATTTTCAAAAGTAATGAATAGAAAAAAAAAAAAAAACCCTTCAAAGAAATGGTCTAAATTTAAGATTAGCTGATCTTAGCAAAACTACACATGGAAAGGAAATTCAGACCTAACAGATTTTCCCCATTCTTAGCATGCCACCAGTTGTTTCAAGGCTCTTAAGTATATACATGTTTAATCACTGTGCTTCCTGATTAAGAAAGAAAAAAAAACTTTATGCTTTCTTTTTCTTTTTCTTTTCCAGCAAGTAACCGGCAGGAGCTTTGGTGACAAAGATTTCCGGACAGGGTTAGAAAACGGAATCCTTCTCTGCGAGTAAGTATAGTCTGCATCCAGTTGGTTTTTATTCAAGAAAAATTATTAATGCTATTTAATGTGTAGGTAAAAGTTCCAGTGTTTTGTTTGGAATGTAATCAGTATGAATCTGACATTTAAAAAAAAAAATCACTGGGCTAAGCGGTAAACATAAGTGAGGGAGTTGGTGTTCAGTAGAGCGGTGGGCTCTGTGGCAATTTGAGACGAGATAAGGAAGGACTTTATGGTAGCTGGTACTCAGTTCCAACCCACTTTCACCAGGTAAGAATCTGGGCCCCGGTAATTGGATGGATGTGGACCAAATTGTGGAGGGGTTTGGGATGGAAATGGGGGAATAAGGACAATTATGTGAGACCATAATCAATTAAAAAAAAAAGTATCAACTTTTCTCCCTTTGTTCCCCACCCCACCCCCAACCCCTCAAACAAAAGCAGCGTGTGCACAGTGCAAACAGCGCTTCTGTTTACTCACAGCAGCTTCAAGCACGCCAGGTGGTGTTCCTTGCTGGGCCTGCTCCCTGAACTGGCTGGAATATGTTTAATGTGTGCTGCTGGCAAAATTAAAATATAAACCATGACTGCAGTGCTAATGTCTATGTTCTCAGCCCAGGCTTTGTCACAGGGTGCTGGTGTGATGAAGGAAGGAATCAAGCACTTCCTCTGACGTAGTTCTGGACCAGGAGAGCTAGAACCTTAATGGTCCTAGGTGGATAGACACACTTCACATCAAGATTTCAAATTTTTTGAATTTATTTAATAGCTTCTGTCATTTCTGTACTGCTTTTTGTCTTATTGAGGTGAGATGTATAGACATGCAATGCACAGCTCCCACATTTCCATTCTGATAAGTTTTGAAAACGGTGTACATGCATATAACCTACTACATCGGATCATGATAGAGAAAAGGAAGTTCCCTCATGTCCTTTTCCCATCCATCCCAACCACCTACAGAAAAGCACTGTTCTGATTTCTATCATCATAGCATCTGCTTTATCTCATCTTGAATTTTGTGTAAATGGAATCACATAGAATCCACTCTTAATATTGGCAACTTCAGAATATTGTTTGGGGCCCATCCACCGATGTAGCTGAAAGAGCGTGGGTTTCAGAGCCTGAGAACTAGATACTCAGTTCCTTACTTCACCCATTAAATGAATTAACCTCCTCTAGTCTCCCCCCCCCCCCTCTTAAAATGGCAATCAAAACTTTATACCTATTGCCTATTCCATATACTTTTTTGTATTCCATGTACTTCAAAGGGATCGTGTGGATCAGGTGCCGCCCCAAATTACATTTGTATAAAAATGTTGGTTATTGTGCATTGCCTTTCAACACATTTCATGTCAGCATCTTTTTATTCCTGTTCCCCATTGCCATGCTTTCTTCAAAGAGAAATTTACATCCCCAGCTAGCTGTTCCCATGCCTTCCTTCCTGTGCTATCTTCTCATACTTACACCCTCACAGATCATTGCCCTTTGTTATCAGAGCTCATCTCATAGGTGGTCCAGAGTGGGTTAGCATCGCACCAGAGACAGCTCAAACAGACTCTCAGCATTTCCCTTGTATTCTAGCACCAGCTTCTCCAATGATTCTGGGCTTAGCCCTCTCTTAGTGTTAATAGGTTACCCAGAATCTGATCTAATTTATTCCATAGTGTTCTCTTAACCTGTTGAAGTGGGTCTTTGGTACCAGTTTGTTTTTTTTACTTAACATTTGTTCCAAAGATTCTTGTAGGCATCCACCTCTCCACTCCATCCCCAAGAGTGTATCTGTCAGGGGCTAATATCACCTGCCTGATTTGGGATTGAGGGAGCTCATCTGAAAGCAAGGATCTGGATTTAAAGACATTGGCACACAGCTCAGCTGGTGTGGCTCAGTGGTTGAGTGTCAATCCATGAATCAGGAGGTCATGGATCAATTCCTGGTCTGGGCACATGCCTGATCTCCAGTAGGGAGCATGCAGGAGGCTGTTGATTGGTGATTCTCTTTCATCCTTGATGTTTCTCTCTCTCTCTCTCTTTCTCTCTCTCTCTCTCTCTCTCTCTCTCTCTCTCTCTCTCTCCTTCTTCTCTCTGAAATCAATAAAAACACATATATACATCCTATATAATAAAGAGGTAGTAAGAAAATTGACCATTACTCCAACACACAAGATGGCCGCCCTCATGTGGTCAAAGTGGCCTCCCCCATGTGTATACAAGATGGCTGCCACAAGATGGTCTACAGGGGAAGGCAATTGTAGATGATCAGGCCTGCAGGGGATGACAATTGGGGAGGACCCAGGCCTGCAGGGGAGGGCAGTTAGGTGTTGATTAGGCTGGCAGGGGAGTGGTTAGGGGGTGATCAGGCTGGCAGGTAGAAGTGGTTAGGGGCAATCAGGCAGGCAGGTGAGGGTTTGGGACCCAGCAGTCCTGGATTGTGAGAGGGATGTCTGACTGCCCTCGAGGGGTCCCAGATTGGAGAGGGTGCATGCTGGGTTGAGGGACATCCCCCCTGCATGCACAAATTTTGTGCACTAGACCTCGAGTGTGTGTGTGTGTGTGTGTGTGTGTGTGTGTGTGTTTAATGAAGACATTGTTACACACAAGATTCATTTCTTACCTACCTGAAGATATTGAGTTAGGGGATGGATTTGTCAATGTGTATAATACTACTGCCCATTGGCCTTTTGCAAACACATTCATAGCTATTAGGGCGATATAGGGGTGGAGAGATAGGGTTTAAGTCCAGGCCATGGTTAGAAAATAGTATGGTTAGACAACACAGAGGCACAGATTATAGCAGGGGCCTCTTTAAATAAATAAAGGGCTTGGACTGCCGACAGCCTGGGGCTGAAACTGAGGGAATTGGCCAATGCAGGATGTGGACAAATGTGGACTGTCTGCATGGGCAGGATGAAACCCAAGATAAGTGAGTTATTGTCCAAGCTCTCTAAACGTGGAGGAGTTGAAGGAGTCTGAGGACCAGGGCCATGTTCAGCGGGCAGCCCTGGCACAGAGTTTGCTAAGGTGGAACGAACTGAATTGGTAGCCTCAGGCAAGGAAGGCCAGTCGCATGATCCCAGCCAGAGCCTTAGAGGGAAAGCTGGGTCAGCAGCCAGTGAAACCATATAAAAACAAATTTGTAAGTGCAGGGCCCACAGAGCAATGAGAAACAAAACATGACCAGGAGCTGCAGGCACCGAAGGTTGGGAAACATGGAAGATTTGCCCTCTCCTTTTTGGTCAGGGGTGGGGGCACGGCTGTGTTTGATTTGAGCATATTGGGGTGCTACAGACTGAGATGAGAAGGTGCATTTTCTGGGACTTGTCTCCAGAGACAAGGAGGGGGACTTGTACCATTCCAGGTATGGGCTTGGTGGATGGCAGAGGCCACAAGGCAGGGAACTCAGTCTGGAGGCTCTCAGGAAAGTGAGGGTCCCAGACAATGAGTCCAGGCAGGCAAAGTAGAGTACACCTGACACCTATATAATTTGTTAACCAATTCAACTGCATAAACTCAATAATAATAATAATAATAATAATAATAATAATAGAATGCTTAAGGCTGTACCACTCCCTAAGACCAGAGAGTTTCATGGATGCTGGTGATTAAGGAGGTCTAATTCATAATCACCACTCATATAAGAACATTTAAAAATATAGGACCCCAGCCAAAAACTACGTGAATGGCATCGGTGAATTCTTCCTTTTGTTCAACAAACTATTAGCTCTTTGTCCAAGTTGGATCGGCTCTAAATGTTGGTTAGAGGGACACCATGTGCTTTGTTCACTAAAAATTTCCCAAGTTTTTTTAATTGCCTGGAGAAAATTCAGAGTTCTCATCGAACTAAGGGCTAGGACCTGGTTTTGGTCTCAGCAGCCTGGTTCTTAACGTACCTGTGGCCTATGAGGACTGTTATCATACCCATTTCACAGAGGGAAGTAGCTGAGGCACAGAGGATTACATAACTTGGCTCAAGTTATACAGATCAGAAAGACTTGTCTTATAAGTGCATTTCTAGTATCACATGATCTCACTCATCTAGGGGAAATAATGAACAACATAAACTGATGAACAAAAACAGACCTGGAGACAGGGAAGCATTGGTCAGACTGTTAAACCTCAGAGGGAAGGTAGGGGAGAGTGGGGGTAAGAGGGAGAGATCAACCAAAAAACTTGTATGCATGCATATAAGCCTAATGAGTAGTCATGGACAACAGGGGGGTGTGGGTGTGTGGGGAGGGGGTTGGGATGGGAATGGGGGGGTGAGGGCAAATATGTGATACCTTAATCAATAAAGAAATTTAAAAAAAGAAAGACTTGAATGCTGAAGGCTGATTTCCTAACTTTGCTGTTCCCCACTGTCCTTTATCTAGAGCTGAGATTTTAATGAGAGAGAAACACGAGGTTGGGGGTGTGGAATTGGTGCCAGGAGACCTAGAGCATGGGGAGAAGGGCGGTACGGAAGATAAGCATCGGGTCTCACTGGTGGTGGTCTTGGAGCAGTGTGAGCGTGGAGGGCCTGGCTGTACTTCTTTAAGAAGGCAAGTCCAGTAAGAGTGAGGTCATGAGAGTACAGGAGGCTGTGGTTAGTGGAGGACGCAGATGTCAGTCTTCTTAAGTGGAACCATTAAAGCTAGATGGAGACAAATGAGAGTGGCAGACCTGAACTAAAAACTGCAGTGACAGGAGAGAGGAAAGACTGGCACCTGCAGGCAGCACGGAAGATGGGAATAGCCCTCAGATCATCCCGGAAGCTCTTTTACTTTGCCCGTGAAATGCAATGCATGCGGCTTTGCAGGTGCACCCCGTGTACACAGTAAGACTTACGCTGAAATGTATAGTGTACAGCAATAACAAGTAGGTGCCAAATAGAACTGCAGTGGATGTGTTTTTGCTATCACCATCTCTCTCTGCCTCTGTTGTTTTTGCCAAGTGTGTGCAGTCGAAGCGTGGGAGGTTAATGCTCAAATGATGTGAGCCCTCCACTGAGCTCTATGGGTCTGGGGTCAAAGTGTG